GACCGGACGCGTTCGATCGGAGTTGAGCAGCTCTGGGAGCTCTCTATACTCGACCGGACGCTGCCCGTCCTACGTCCGGTCGGTACACCGGACGCGTCCGATCGACAGTTGGGTGGCAACGGCTATTTCGTTTGAATGGGACACGTGGCGGTCGAGCAGGGATTGGACGTAGCGACCAGACGCGTCCGGTCGCCACACTGGACGCGTCCGATGCACACGACCTTCGCGTCCGGTCGTCCCGAAAAATGCCCAGTGAAGGGGTAATGGCTAGTTTAGCCCGTTGTGCTATAAATAGAAGGGGGTCTCAGCCATGGCTGTTGTTGAGCACCTTAGGGGACTTTGTGTCCATGCTTGAGAGTGCTTGGAAGCCCTCCATCTCACATATGCTTGATAGTGATCATTCGATTGTGTGAGAGAGAGAGTCTAGTACGATTGCATCGTGAGGTTGCATCGAGTGGCACTAGGTGGTCACCTTGCAAGCCGGTGGTGCTTGTTACTCTTGGAGGTTGCCACCTCCTAGATGGCTTGGTGGTGGTCTCCGTCGAAGCCCGCAAGAAGCTTGTGCGGTGCTTCGGAGAAGAGCTTTGTGAGGGGCATTGTGCTCGCCCCGTGGGAGCCATGAAGAGCAACTCTAGTTGAGCGTGTCATTGAGCTACCCTCATTTTTGGGGTAGGTTCTTGCGGTGCCCGACGTGCAGGCTTAGCGGGTGATGCCAATTAGCCGCCGAACCACCAAGTGAGCGGTCGACACAACGAGGACGTAGCGTGTTGGCAAGCACATGAACCTCGGAAGAAAATCACCATGTCAATATTATTTTTTCCGTTGGTTTGCAATTCCCTTACACAAGCTTATTATTACTTTCATATACATAGTGCTTGTGTAGTTGCTCTTGTAATTAGTTAGCTTGTGTAGCTCACTAGTTACCTTCTTGCTTGTGTAGCATAGAAGTTGCTCCCTTGCATGGCTAATTTGGTTTGTGTAACCTTGTTAGTCACATTGCTTAGTTTGTGTAGCTAAGTATTTGCGCTCTCTAATTTGGCATTGGTTGCCTTGTTATTGAGCATTGCTAGTGAGCTTAGGAGCTTTGTTCTTTTGCTTACTAAAATTGTGTAGGAGCTCTTCGGTGTGCAAAATACAGTAGCATATGTTTGTGTGACCTTGCTCCTAGAATTGGATATGTGAGCTCTAGCTAGCCCGGCACCTTTGTTGTCTAATTAGGATCCTTATAAGGTGCTTATGAACTTTGATAGAGGGGTGTAGTCTTGGCTAAGACCGATTGTTTTAATTTCACATTTGTTTCAGTTAGTCGACACGATTAAATTTTAGTAACGACTATTCACCTCTCTCTAGTCGTCATCTCGACCCTACAAGTGGTATCAAAGCAAGGTCTCTCATTTGTGGTCTTCACCGACCCGAGGGGATGACGGCATATGGGCTAGATGTTGAGTGTCCATACACTTTTGATGTCACAGACTTTGCATAGTGGAAAAATAGGATGACATGCAATTTTAAGTTTATTTCCCCCCAAATGTGGTGGATCGTAGATGTGGGCTTTTCTCATGCGTTGGATGAAAAGAATGCAACTAAAGCGTAAAAGAAATGTCTACATCTCGATTGCCAAGCTACTAACATTTTATATCAATCCATGAAAGATAACATATTTGGGGGAGATCATGTACATGAAGACCGCCCATAATATTTGGTTGTACCTCAACTTAATATGTGAGAATGTCTCCAATGATGATGATAAGGGTACCAAGGAGGAGGCGCATGAGTGTGTCGAGCATAACCATAATTTGGTGATTGTGGAAGATTGCTCCACCTCATGGTCAAGTGATGATGATGATGATCGATCCACTACAAATTCACTTGACAAGGTTGATGATGATGCCACAAGTGTTGCACATGAAGATTCTACCTCAAGCACACTTGGTGGTGATCTAGATGATGTCGTTTCATGCTCAAGCCATGATTGTGATGCTACTACAAGCTCTCCAACTACATCACATCGCTTCATATCACAAGGTGACACCAATGTATCAAATGATAATATGGTTGATCATGTTGATTCATATGATGAGCTTGTTAGTAAACTTGCTAGCATGACCATGTCTTTAGAAAATAAGAAAACTAAAACGTTGAAATTGAAAAATGAAAACTCATTTCTAAAGAACTCATGTGAAGAACATGATGTTCTTAAATCTTCATATGGTGAGCTAAAATTGACTCATGAGACACTTGTGTAACCTTGTTAGTCACATTGCTTTGTTTGTGTAGCTAAGTATTTGTGCTCTCTAATTTGGCATTGGTTGCCTTGTTATTGAGCATTGCTAGTGAGCTTAGGAGCTTTGTGCTTTTGCTTACTAAAATTGTGTAGTAGGTCCCCGGTGTGCAAAATACTAGTGGCATAAGTTTGTGTAATCTTGCTCCTAGAATTGGATAGGTGAGCTCTAGCTAGCCCGTCACCTTTGTTGTCTAATTAGGATCCTTATAAGGTGCTTGTGAACTTTGATAGAGGGGTGTAGTCTTGGCTAAGACCGATTGTTTTAATTCCGCATTTGTTTCAGTTAGCCGGCACGATTAAATTTTAGTAACGACTATTCATCCCCCCCTCTAGTCGCCATCTCGACCCTACAACCTTGAGTGCTACCGGTGTTCTTATTTAGGTTTCTTGAGTTGGAAGCTTTTAGACTTGTTACTCTTGGTAATTACCATCACCTAGGCTAGACGGTCCGATGGAGGACTTGATGACCTTCCTCGGTGGAGCTAGTGAGAGGCTCTAAAAGGTGTTCATGGTCTTGAAACCGACCATACCGGAGTGGCAAATAGGTATTCACTAAGGTCAGTCTCAATGTGGGTTTCATGTCCTAATTTCCAACGCACCTAGATCATAGAAAACAGTGCAGAAGAGTTTCATTCTCATACAATAGTCCCATGTATTATCTCTCTCTTCATCAATACAGTGTCATATCAGCATATTAATGCTAATGAAACCCTCATAAAACCCCGTTGAGATTAGCCTAATAGAAAAGGGTTAACCAGTCTTTATGACTTTGGCGCTCCAACACGTAGCAGGGGGTTATGGCAAAACCCAACACCATGGGGAAAAATTGCGATTGTCTCTTCTCCTTTCTTATTACTTTATTTACATTCTTTGATTTCTTATGTGACAACTATGATTCGTATTAGTGTGCTTAGCATAGGTTTTATATACTTACTAAGCTAAGGACCTTTACTCTTAGTGTGATCCTAACTAAGAACATGATGATTGTGTTGGTGTTAACTGTTAAGGGACTCGATAGATTGCTAGGCTAAGTTTGTTGCTTAAATTTAAACTCTTAGAGCTTCAGTCCTTTCATGTTTCTTTGGGGTTTATCTCCTAGCTATTTGCTGGGTAAAAAATGTGTATGCTGACGGTAACCGGCCGGTCCCAAATTTATGTGCAGATTTGACCGTAATTGCACTGCCCGTTTACTGGAAGTGGCATGAGTGCGGTACTACTGAACTGATGAAGGCACTGACGATAGAGCTGGCTAGTCAAAAAGTCACTCTGCGTGGTCCTGAATGTGCTGGCGGGCCGCTGACCGTTGGGCGTTGGCGTTGATTGATTGATGAGGAACGCAAGCGCGCTAGCTAGTGTGATGTTTTGCAACATGTGCTGATGTTGTGGGGTTGTGCTCGCGCGCTCGCTGTTTTCCGCTAACCCGTGGGCAGTGGGCTCGACCAAAACAACCACACCTGCATGCAACTGAAGGCGCCAGGCAGCAACCGGTCCGGCGGTCCCGGTCGAGTTGGCCGAAACGTGTCCCGTAAGCCATGGCTGAAAATACTATTGATTAATTTGTTGCGAGAGAAAAATATGATTTATTGGTTGAAAAAGTATGGCTTATAAGCTAAGCGAACGGAACGAGGATCCCTTTCCATGTCGTCGTCGGTGACTGGTGTGGTCTCTAGTGTCCAGCTACTCCCTATCCCTATACTAGGACTGGAGGGATTTTCCACGTCTCTAATTAGAAGAAGAAATTAAAGAAGCTTCTGCTTTGGCCACACGTTGGAGTCGGGTGTCAGCAGACAAAGCAAGGTCGAATCCTGCAGTCCGGTTTGGTGACGAATTCAGCGTGCGGTCCGATGGAGAAACCGTGCAGACCCGCCCCGCGCGGTATCCGTGCGGATCCAAGCAACGGCATTGCCGATGAAAATGCTTTCGTTCCAAGCAACGGCATTTGCCGGCTGGTCGTCGTAACAGTGCAAGGCCCGGCAGGATGGAGCGGCGGCGCGTCATTCTCGCCCGTGCCTTCCTGCCGTAGCCTGCACCTGATTCAGACCGCCGGCCAGGCCGTTGGGTCGGCGCGAAACAGCGTCGAGTGCAGCGTACGAGACCACGCGCCGAAGCGATCGAGAGAGTCCGTCTCGTCTATGTACTTGGCATCGCGGTATGCATGCTTGACCCTAGCTCACGCGCCACATGCATGCCTGGATCTGATCGGAATATCGGTTTGCATTCCAGGACGGGTCAGCCGTCCATTGGATCTCCCCTGACATTTCTACCGGCAGATTCGATGCTTCAGACTCCAGAATTGAATAATCACCGGATCCGGAACACGGAACACAGCCGATCGACCGCCCGGCTTACTTCATCACCGGATCCGGTCGGCGCGCTGTCGATCCACCCGAGGAAACCTGCCCGCCATTATTCCAAACCAAGCAACACGAAACCGCGGGACGAAGTTTCGCTGCAGGATTGTATTCCATTCCACATGGAATGTGGGGGATCCAATCCATCCATCCATCCATCCAACTCACTCATTCACCTGCAGATCGATCGTTCACGGGACACGTAGGCGTGTGTTGCTGCAAATTCCACCATAAATAGCAGCTACCATACCTCCTTCGATTCTCATGCAGCCAACACACAGCAGCATTCATAGTGTAGTGTCGGAACTTGGAAGGCAGAGGCAGAAACCGTAGCCGTACGTTTTTATTTGTAGTAGTACAGAGCAATGACGGGTCCCATGGAGATTCCGGTGATCGATCTCGGCGGCCTCAACGGCGGCGACGAGGAGAGGTCGCGGACCTTGGCGGCGCTCCACGACGCCTGCAAGGACTGGGGCTTCTTCTGGGTAATTATATTAAGCAACAACGAATGATACATACATAGCTATTGACAAGTTTCGTTTTATATGCGTGCTCGTCGATCATGCGCCGCTCGCATGCAGGTGGAGAACCACGGCGTGGACGCGTCGCTGATGGACGAGGTCAAGCGCTTCGTCTACGGCCACTACGAGGAGCACCTCGAGGCCAAGTTCTACGCCTCCGACCTCGCCAAGAGCCTCGAGACCCACGACGTCCCCACCGAAGGCGAAGGCGAAGGCGAGGAGCCCTCCGACAAGGTGGACTGGGAGTCCACCTACTTCATCCAGCACCGCCCCAAGAGCAACGTCGCCGACTTCCCGGAGATCACGCCGCCGTGCAGGGAGACGCTGGACGCGTATATCGCCCAGATGGTGTCTCTGGCGGAGCGCCTGGGCGAGTGCATGAGCCTCAACCTGGGCCTCCCCGGCGGGCACGTCGCCGACACCTTCGCGCCGCCGTTCGTGGGCACCAAGTTCGCCATGTACCCGTCGTGCCCGCGCCCGGAGCGGGTGTGGGGCCTGCGCGCGCACACCGACGCCGGCGGCATCATCCTGCTCCTCCAGGACGACGTCGTGGGCGGGCTCGAGTTCCTCAGGGGCGGCACCGACTGGGTCCCCGTTGGCCCCACCAGGGGCGGAAGGCTCTTCGTCAACATCGGGGACCAGATCGAGGTGCTCAGCGGCGGCGCCTACCGGAGCATCGTGCACCGCGTCGCGGCCGGGGACCAGGGCCGCCGCCTGTCCGTGGCCACGTTCTACAACCCCGGGCCCGACGCCGTGGTGGCGCCGGCGGCCAGGGGAGGACGCCGACGCGGCGGCGGCGCTGGCGTACCCCGGCCCCTACAGGTTCGGGGACTACCTCGAGTACTACCAGGGCACCAAGTTCGGCGACAAGGACGCCAGGTTCCAGGCCGTCAAGAAGCTGCTCTGTTTACCGGAGCTAGCTTAGTTCGTGGATTATGCGTTGCGTTGCGTTTCGATTTCGGGCTTGCTTGTTGTTTATCCATTGTCTGCATAGTATGCACGGGGTCACGTGTTTAAATTTATTTAGCAAATCTTTTACGTAGTCACTACTGGTACAGTGGCACTACGTATTCAGCTGTGGTTGACTATACGCTGTTGCGGCTTAAGGGCGCATCCCGTTTGGTGGACTTGCAGTCTTGCACATGCCACTCGACGTTGTTGGCTTTGTTTGTCAGTCAACAGCCAACGTCACAAATCACTACAGCAAAGTGACGTGCCTCGATGGTGATACGTCTGTAGTCAACAGTCGAAGTCACAAATCACTACTACTAGCAAAGTATTGTGGTTCGAAGAAGAAAAAAAATAGGGTCACAAAATCTCAACAACTGCCAAGATGCAGCTTAAATGGACATGGAAAACGCACATTAGATGGCAACGGTGTCCATTAGACGCGAATCTCCTGCTTACCTAGATAGACCACACGGGCTGGGGGCCGGCTCCTGTGTGAGATCCATGTGCTTTTCTCCTGGGCCGATTTGGTTTGCACGGACACCTCCTGTGTGAGAGCGTGCCGCGCGTTTTTGCAGGCCTAATTAGTTTGGATGCAAGTAAAGTTTTACAATGATGGTATTATTATTGCTAGACCTATTAGAGGTGTAAGTTGGAAAGATTTTGAGTACTTGTTGGAAGAGATTTTTTCACCTGCTTTTCAGATGGCTCTAATATCATCATCAAGTTCTATCGAAGCTACTCAAAATTGACCAGAGAACGTTCAAACTTGTAGGGGATATACTGCAATGCTAGACCTCAAAACTAGGGACTCCGGCATTACATCAAGTAGAGCCTATTAGAGGTGTACAGTCCTAAATAGGGTTTCTCCAATCCTGATGTTGCCCTACCTATAGGCACCGCTCGCATCTATTACTTTGCGGTTGTATTTTGTTTAGATAAAATTTAGTTTTAGCTACTTGCATATAATTGGTTAACTCGATTAGAGCAGTTGTAGCGTATACTCGTTATGAACTTTCTGAAGCTAGACACTTCACCTGGGTGCTATGTATGGATGAAAACGGTACGGATATTTATTCGACCGTCGTTAAATCGAACAAATATGAACACTTATCGGATAGTTACTCGGATATCCGCTTTTTTTTGGATACGGATACTAAAACGGATATCTTAGGCGGATATCAAATACGGATGTAATATCATCGATATCCGGCGGATATCGGATAATCCGGATAAGTATCGGATATATCCGGATATTTAAAAACGGATATTATCCGGATATTTATTCAAAATTTAAAAATCACAAATTTGAACCATCCAAACTATCTCAAATGGAAAGTTGACCAAAACAACAATTGTAGATCTTGATGAGTTGAACAAACTTGGTATTCAAAACTTTTCAATTTGAAGTCATTTAGAGTTCATAATACTAGAGTCAAAGTGTTGTTTTTTCATTTGACCAAATTTGACTTGATCAAACTTGCTCAAATGAGACACTAAATGACCTCAGATGAAAAACTCTGAATACCAAGTTTGATCATCTCAGCAAGATATACAATTGTTACATAGCTCATTTTCCCATTTGAGAAAGTTTTATCAAACACTAGTCATAAATTCTTGAATCTCATATAGACTTCTCGAAACTATGTCACACACTTGTGAAATTTGAACTATATTTTGTTCAAACTTTCTCAAATGAAAAATGTCCTATATAAAGATTGTATATCTTGATGAGATGAACAAATTTGGTATTCAAAACTTTTCAATTTGAGACAATCTAGGGTTAGAAAACTAGTTTGTAAACGTTGAAATTTAAAAATCACAAATTTGAACCGTCCAAACTATCTCAAATGGAAAGTTGACCAAAAACAAAATTGTAGATCTTGATGAGTTGAACAAACTTGGTATTCAAAACTTTTCAATTTGAAGTCATTTAGAGTTCATAATACTAGAGTTAAAGTGTTGTTTTTCATTTGACCAAATTTGACTTGGTCAAACTTGCTCAAATGAGACACTAAATGACCTAAGATGAAAAACTCTGAATACCAAGTTTGATCATCTCAGCAAGATATACAATTGTTACATAGCTCATTTTCCCATTTGAGAAAGTTTTATCAAACACTAGTCATAAATTCTTGAATCTCATATAGACTTTTCGAAACTATATGTTACACACTTGTGAAATTTGAACTATATTTTGTTCAAACTTTCTCAAATGAAAAAATGTCCTATATAAGGATTGTATATCTTGATGAGCTGAACAAACTTGGTATTCAAAACTTTTCAATTTGAGACAATCTAGGGTTCCGAAAACTAGTTTGTAAGCATCGAAATTTAAAAATCACAAATTTGAACCGTCCAAACTATCTCAAATGGAAAGTTGACCAAAACAAGAATTGTAGATCTTGATGAGTTGAACAAACTTGGTATTCAAAACTTTTCAATTTGAAGTCATTTAGAGTTCATAATACTAGAGTCAAAGTGTTGTTTTTTCATTTGACCAAATTTGACTCGGTCAAACTTGCTCAAATGAGACACTAAATGACCTCAGATGAAAAAACTCTGAATACCAAGTTTGATCATCTCAGCAATATATACAATTGTTACATAGCTCATTTTCCCATTTGAGAAAGTTTTATCAAACACTAGTCATAAATTCTTGAATCTCATATAGACTTTCTGAAACTATGTCACACATTTGTGAAATTTGAACTACATTTTGTTCAAACTTTCTCAAATGAAAAAATAGCCTATATAAGGATTGTAGATCTTGATGAGCTGAACAAACTTGGTATTCAAAACTTTTCAATTTGAGACAATCTAGGGTTCCGAAAACTAGTTTGTAAGCATCAAAATTTAAAAATCACAAATTTGAACCGTCCAAACTATCTCAAATGGAAAGTTGACCAAAACAACAATTGTAGATCTTGATGAGTTGAACAAACTTGGTATTCAAAACTTTTCAATTTGAAGTCATTTAGAGTTCATAATACTAGAGTCAAAGTGTTATTTTTTCATTTGACCAAATTTGACTTGGTCAAACTTGCTCAAATGAGACACTAAATGACCTTAGATGAAAAAACTCTGAATACCAAGTTTGATCATCTCAGCAAGATATACAATTGTTACATAGCTCATTTTCCCATTTGAGAAAGTTTTATCAAACACTAGTCACAAATTCTTAAATCTCATATGGACTTTCTAAAACTATGTCACACACTTGTGAAATTTGAACTACATTTTGTTCAAACTTTCTCAAAATGAAAAAATGGCCTATATAAGGATTGTAGATCTTGAATCCATGACCATGACTCCATGAGACCCATGAAGCAATGTGCTTGGCTATTTCTACTCATGCATGCCAAGATTGGTGTTTATATGATGTTTGATGTATGATGTATCTCGTATCTTTATCTTATTTGTTGCTTTACTCTTTAGTCTTTCGGCTTAATCTAGATGGATTATGGACTCATAGAGTGGTGTAATGGTTTGCGCACGTATGATATATATATATATGCTGCTTTTACTCAATATCCGAATAGATATTTGTATCCGACCTTCTCCGAATCTGATTCATACCGTATTCGATACTCATTATTCAGATCCGTAATCGAAGTCAATCCAGATTCAGATATGTATCCGAACGCTATCCGTGTCCGAATCCGAATCCGAACGAAATATGAAAACAAATATAATATGAGTGATATCCGTTCGTATCCGATCCGTTTTCATCCCTAGTGCTATGTGAGACAAAACTCTCCAGCGCAAGTCGAGTCCTTCCTAGGAAAAAATGTTTTCTCTCTCCAGCTTTGTGCAACTAGGAGCTCATGAACGCGAAGCACGAAGAGATTGCACCGGGTGCAAACTCCATCATCTCGTGAACGTGAAGCACGAAGAGATTGCACTGGGTGCAAATTCTAGCACCTGTTGCTAGCATGTGCTACTTAGCACTACTCCTGCAGCATATTGCACCCACCCTGTCATTCTCTCTCTCCCTCTCTCTCTCTCTCTCTCTCTCTCTCTCTCTCTCTCTCTGCCTGCTAGCAGCCTGAAAAAAGTCAAAAACCAACGCTATAGCTGCTCTTAAAGCACCTATTTTACTTAGGACTCCATCTCAAGTATTAGATTTTGGCCCTGTTGTCTTGATCCGTGGATTGTTCTCTTGCCCATTGTGTATTTGTGCCATTAATTTTTCTTGCATTACTAGTAGGTTTAAGGCCCTTTCCATGTTTGCACTCTTATCGAAAGATTAGAAATTGCCTTTGTTGCGCCGTCCCATCATCGTTAACCAAGTCGCCATCCTCTACTTCGAGGGGGCGTTGGTGCTTTTGTCATCGCCCGATGAACTCTTAGCTTTCCAGGATTTGTCAAAAAGTTTGATGATAAAACAAACGATAATGCTGGCATCCGTCCTTCCGGACACCGCGCACCCCACTCCGCCTCTATCCGCTCCCTATCTTCCTCACCAATCTATCGCAGTTCCTCACCAGGTAGGCCGTGGCCGTATGGCGAACATTGTGTTTCAAGTGTTTCAGGCGTTTTAGACTTTTGTTTCAAGTGTTTCAGCTGGATGTTGTAAAGTAGATCTAGGATGTTGCATATGTTGCAATGACAAAATACGCATGTTGCAAGCCTATGTTTCAAGTGTTTCAGATGTATGTGGCAAATGTTTCATTTGGATGTTTCAAAAGTAGATCTTGCTGTTGCACATGTTACAACGGCTATACACACATGTTTCAAGTGTTTCTTCTATTTCAGACGTATGTTGTAAATGTTTCATATAGATGTTTCAAAAGTAGATCTGATGTTGCTCTCCCTCCCCTCCCTTCTCTTCCCTCCATCTCGCCGTGGTAGTTTGAGCTCGGCGGAGAAACCCTACCCGACGAGCGCACAGACGTCGGGTAGGCGCAGCAACGTGCAGGGGGACGAGCAAGCGTAGCCGCGTGCGCAGTAGGCGCAGCAGCCGCGAGTGTCCTGACAGGGGCTAGCGTCCGGACGTCCGTGCGCCACGCCGTAAAACAAAAGGAATCAAGCCAAAAGACATGGAAAATGGGATAAAATCTTATCCA